GTGCTGGCTTTGCCAAAACAAAAATAGGCAGGGAAAGAAAGAGATATTTGCAAATTAGGAGAAACTCTCATATTTTTTTAAGGTACCCAGAGAGATGAAACTGAAACTGAATATATAACAAAAGGCACTTGTCTGGGTGAAATTTTCACCAGATATTCAAATGAACCAGCAACAACAAATGTGGCTGCTGGCTGAACAAACAAACAACAACCAACACACAAAAAACGGAAACCGTTAAAGGCGAAAAAGACAACAACATCAAACGTTAGTTTTGGAGTCGCTTTCAAATGGTGCACTGAAATAAATTGTAGTCAAAATTGTGTGGATTGAAAATTCCGTTCTCTAAGAGAAGCACCTTGATATAAACATTAATTAGGATAATCATATATTTTTTATTTTTTTAGGAAGAATACCTAATAAGTTAGTAGAATAAATAAAGATGAATAGTAATATGGGAATTTATTTCTTTATTTTTATTTTATTTTGTCATATTAAAGCTAGTATACAACACTAAAATTAATTTAAAGAAACAATGGCCCTGGAAACTGAAGTCCTTCGGCCAGAAAATTTATTTCTTAAGTATTAAGATTTATCAGAAGGAGGCTTCAGAAAAGGTTAGTATGAAAGTATCATTTAAGTCGATGACCCTTATTTCTATTTCTAAAATTAAAATCAAATACAACAGGTTTTTCTTCGGTGTACCTACAGTTGTCGTAGATGTTGCTCCTGTTGATGAGGCGTGCTCCGTTGTTTACCCCACTTGAAAGCGACTGAAGATCAATGGATTGTATGACCAAGACCAAAACCAAAACCAAGACCAAAGTTGCTGGTGTTGGTCTACCACTTTCGTTGTTACTGTTGTTGATATTTTGTGTGTTTTTTTCCAAGACGCCGCTAGAGCTTTGAGCGATTTTTCATTGGAATAGAAAGTGAATTGAATTTGTTTTCGCTGGCGGACTGCGCGATTCATTGCTCTTGACGTTGTCGTCTTCATTGGGGTGCCGTTGTTTACACTGAAAACAACGCACGACCGAACGGAAAGCAGATGCTCTGCCCGCTGAGACGGAGACAATCTTCTGGAAATTGGACCATGTCATTGACCTTTTCGCTTCGACTTGCCCCAAAAGCAGTGAGAGTGCTGTTTGTTGTTTATCTTTCGGTTTCAGTTGTTGTTTGGCCTGGGGAAAAACGCCAGTGAAAGAGTAGCTTTTAACGATCTGTTCGTGGACTTTACTCGAATGCAATTATTGGTGGTGATCTGGAGACTTAAGGAGTTTCCAGATGGTGACATGAAAGCTGCAGTCATAAAACTAATACTAATTCATTCCTAACAAAAACGATTGGTATTTTAATTACAGCTAAATTAAAATGTATTTCTTGTTGAAAATTGAATACTAATTTAAAAACTTTATTACGACAACCACAAAGTATATAGCCATATCCAGATGATTTTAGAAAGATCAATTTCTTTCGAAAAATTTACAGTAATTACATCATACGTATTTTCAGATTTAGCCACAATAAAATATAGATTTTTCAGTAAAGCTTCCAGTATATTCCGGGATCAAGGTGGTATAGATTTTCATGGATTATAAATAGATTTATTGTAGGTATAGAAATTTTATAATTTAAAAATTTAATTAAAGTCATTCAGACTTTTTAAGCTTTGATCTTCATATATAATAGAAATGCCTTTAACCTGAATTTCTTTTGCACTTAATTGACAAATTCTAAAACTACTATAATAAAAAATTTATAATGAAGACCTAGATGCCCAGCCAAAGCAATCAAGTCATCCGGAGAGTTGTTTTTGTCCCAGATTGATTTGACATCCACTGTCGCTTTCTATTTGTGGTGTCTTCTAGCGTTTTCCAATGCGGAACCGCCGAGCCACGGGCTGCAGTCTGCTGACTCGATTTCTTTTACCAAAATACCAAAATGTGTAAATTGAACGCGTAGCAGCGGCATCGAGCCAATGGGTTTATTCACCTTTCGCCTAATTATCAAAATACATAAGCGGAGTGTACCAGAAAGCGATATACATACATATGTAGGAGTATGTATGTGCAAAAGCTTCGACCAAACCAATCCGATGACGAAGACGGGCAACGGCAACGGCGACTCGACAACTTCAATGAAATCAATTTTACGATAATAATATTTTCAAAAAAAGCCCAGAGAGAGGGGGCCTGTGATTCGGAATACGAATCCGATTCCGAAGCCCTGTCGATTCATATATAAACATTGAATCAGACCCGGCCAGCAGCTCATGTACCGTTGGAAATTTCTTGCCTTTTCTTTTTTCTTTTCTCACAGCGCTGTGTATAAATTTTGTTTTGTATGGGTATTTTGTTGCTTTTTTTCGTTGTTATTGTCTTGCACAAATGTAGGTCAAGTTATACGTCCGCCAGTGTGTGAGTGAGCGGGTATCTGTGTGTGGGTCTCGTGGGACGGAGTTGCGTACTGGGGTGGATGTGGGGGATCTGGGGGATCCGGGGGCGGGACTGAAGGGGGCTGTCATCCCGTCGCACTCTGAATGACTGACTAAAAGTCGGGCGAAGAGTCAAAAGCACTGACAGTATTTTCTAGTAGCTCCATCCCCGGCCAACTTTCACTTAGAAAGTTCTGCTTGCGGTTATGCGGAATCGCTTTTCGGCCTCTCGGTTTTGTTTGGATACCCTTTTGGAGTATTTATTCCCGGAATTCGCACCTTACGCGGAAGAAAGTATGAACAAAGGAAAGATCAAACACCAATTTTGCTTTAATATCTTCTTCAAGAATTATTATAGCGAATATTATGACAAATCTAGAGTTGAATAAATTGTTATAAATTACAAAACATTTTTCCCGTTTTTAAATTATTTAAATAATTTTGTATAATTTATGTTTATTTGTAAATGTATGTATATATTTTAATATTAATAGGTTATTTGATTTACCATTTTCTTAGTCATAGATCTAAACTGGATCTTAGTCACTCATGTTACATTACAACCAACAATATTTATGCTTGAACAGCTTTCATCAGCCAGTCTAATACTATTTTATTAGTCATACATAAGTCATGACTTTTTAAAATCAGCAAAAATAGATCAAGTAAAGATGTAATAAGTTTAAAATAAGTATTAACTACTTTGTATTGAAATTAAAATGTAGGTTAATAAAGAAAATCTCCTAAATTCCATTTATTTTATAAACGTTTGAGGCTTTTCTAATTCACATTAAGTTATAAGAACTTTCCCACTATTTTTTTGAAGGGTACGTAGATCTTCGCCTCACTTTCTTTAAAACCGCCTTGGCTTGGCTGTTTTTTCGGGGCGTTATGAGTTGGCTTATAGTCGTCTGTGGCTGAAAGCGATATTCATTCATATCACCGACAGCAAGTTAACTGGGTCAGCGCGTGTGTGGGTTCCTGGGAAGATCTGATTGCACTCGGATCTGAGCGGATCGGATCGAATTGGATCCCTACCCTCCGATATGATCGCTTAATTGCATTTTCAATGCGAATCGCTGATCGGCGATCGCTGAATGTCTGGGAAAGCTTTCCGTTAGGCGACGTCATCAGCGCCGGCGGCGCAGCAACCTTGGCGATCGGCGATCAGCTGTTCGCTCCGAGTGGATTTCCCTGAACTTCATACTGAAAAGCTAATGTGCGCGCGTGTCTATTAATAGACTCTCTTTTTCTCGCAGTTTTCCGCTCTCTGCGCGTGCGAAGCTCTCTGTCTCCGGGGGACTTGACTTCCTGCTGGAAAAACCTGCTGGCGGAGAGAGCGCGTGAAAAGCTCGGTGCGCCTCTCTTAAGTGGAAATGCCCTCTCTCTGAGAATCTCTGAGTTCTCGACTGCAGCTGCTGTTGTTGTTGTTATTGTTGTTGCGGCTGCTGGTGTGCTATTATTGACCTAATCACTTGTGGAGCACAAACGAACATTGAACTTTTACTTCCGCATAAGCAGCGCCTGTTCGAGATTTTCTCTTTTGATTGTCTGGATAATATATTTTTTTCGCATTGGGAAAATGCGTTTTCCCCCTCGCACAAAGGGGGTTTTCAATTTTTATTGATCATTTCCAGGCCGCTTGGCCATCGGCGACCGCCCAGTGACATTAATTGATGCCCACAGATTCATCAAATATGCGCTGGCCGTTTGGAAAATCATATTTTATGCTCCCCCGGCAGCAATTTGTCCGCGGCAGAGCCCCAGAGTTTTCTGCGTGAGTGTGTGTCGGCGGCATCTGTGTATCTGGAAAATCTTGTAATTTAATGCGACAATTTTGTGCTGGTCGCTGGACCCTCCGTTTGCCCATCGATGAGCTAGAAAACCCAGTGGATCCGGCAAAGAGAAGAAAATGCACTCGAATTTTCAGTTTTAAATATGATTTTCTTTTAATATTATATTTTTATGGGTGTGAGGGTGTGTGTATGGGGTGTCTGGATGTCGGTCGAAGGTGTAGACATATAAATAGCTTAATGCGCTTAAGATCTAAACAAAATTTCTCGCTCCGAATGATTTTCCTGGCTCTCAACGAGAGAAAAAAAACATTACAAATCGTTGGCAATAAATAAAATTATAATTTAAACAAACGAAGATTTGCTCGGGAAATATGACACTAAACGTAATACTCTTTGCGTAATCCTTTCCAATTTGAAGAAGCAATTACAAGTGTATATGGATATATATATATATAACATATATGGTGTATGTGTGATACAATATAGGATATAGGATATGTGTGTGTGCGTTTCCGTGTGTTTTGTGAACAGCAATGAACAATATTTAATTTAAATAGTATGATAATAATAAATAATTAATATAATAGGTATTGGTAGGCTACGCAAAAACTACATAAATACAAAAGTTCGCATCGGGGGCTGGGGAATCCCCAGCTTTCTCCTTCGCCGGCAGCTGGAAGTCTCCTCGCGGCCGCGAACGCGCAACCAGCGCGCTCCCCCAATCATGCCCAGAATTTTTGGATAAGGCAAGGGCGTTATGGGGCTGTGGTGATATGGGGTTCCCCGTGTTCAGTACTGCCCGGTGGGATCCAGACAGTCCTGTCGCCTCTTTTGGCGGGTGTCTTGCGAGTCGCGGGGTCGCCGATAGGTTCCAGTGGGATCCAGCATTTTGTAGGCTTGTGTTTGTTTTGGGGGTTTTTGAAGTTGGGATAGCTTCTTTTTCTTGGCGATATTTAGCCCTGCTTGCTTGGCTAAATGGGGTTCTTCGGGCGCGACCTTAGTAGGTGCCAGTGGGGTCCAAATCGAGAGACATTTTGATATTGTTTTCGATAACTTTCAGATGGGAACTCAAGATATATGTACTTCTGCTGGCTGCTCCTTCTTCTTCAGTACTGACCAGTGGGATCCAGATAGGCGGCCATGGTTAAGATATTTGATTTATCGAGAATCTTTTGGTAATCTTTAAATAGCTTTATAATAGCTTATTTAGTACTGGCCAGTGGGGTCCAAGTAGGCTGCCATTTCGTATGCCGTGTATTAACCAAAAATACTTGAATGACAAAACCGAGTTGGCTTTTTGTTGCTGCTGCTGCTGCTGTCGATTCTCCTTTGTTTAATTTGAATCAACGCGATATTGAACTTTATACTGGTTCTCGTCGCTGTTGTTGTAAGTTCTTTTATTATCACCACCAGTTGTTGGGTTTCTTGGCTGATTATACAGTCACGATTGGGTGTGTGTTTGCTTTTTGTTCTTTTTCAGTTTTTTGTGTGTTCAAGAGTCACTGACACTTAAAATTCGTTAAATACTTTTATTGTTTATTAACAAACGTATGTTTTGTTTGGGTTTTTGGAAAACGACACGAAAATCTTGAAGGGTTTGCGTGAAAATCTGCGGACTTTGCGAGTTGGTTCTCTGGGTTTTTCTGATATTTCAGATGCTTGAGCTGTTGAGCTGGTGATCTGCACTCGTCGAATGTTGTCGATCTTTTGATTTGATTTTCGTCAAGTCGTAAGCTTAAATGCTCGGCCGGCTCGACGGCGCTGCCGGCGTCGCAGCCGAGAGCTCCGAGAGCGGGAGCGAGTGCAAAAGAGCGCGATAGACGGCAGGTGCGCCGCTCTTAATGGGCACAGCTCTCTTAGTCGAGTGCGCGAGAGCGAGTGGGGAGATGATCGTATTTTCATTCATTTCCAGGTAGGTCTCGCGCTCTCTCGCTCTCTCCCTCTCTCGCCCGACTCAGCCGCTCTCGCTCTGCTCACACCCACCTGGATTTCATTCACGAAACAGCTGTTTCTGATCGAGTGCCCTCGTTATGCTCACACGTCCCAGGTGAGTGTGTGTCGGTGTGCGAGACTTCCGAGTGTGTGCGTTTCGGAGGAACTCAGGTAGGAACTATCCTGGCATTCCATTGGTCCTTCGGTTCCCAATCTGCGATCCTAAAACAGCAGACTCCACCTTCTTTTAGGGCCTAATTGAGGCCCATCTCCTGGCCAAATTCGTTTAGTCAGAGCCAAGTACACTCGAACGCAAAGGTTTCGAAATATAGTATCACTTCTCTTTGATAAAGTTAGATAATTCCTAAATAGTAAGCTGATTTTCTAAATCATTAGGGATAAATACTCCTCTGATTCCAGTTTCTTTTTATAAAAATTTTCTGAATAAGTATCCAATTGACAAAATTTATTGTACTTCGACGTTGTTGTTTTTACAAATATATTATCAGTTTTTATATTCCTACCTTCTGTTTTAAAGGTTAAAAAACCAGAGGATATATTTTACAAGAATATGCTTAAAATTGACTCAGTGAAGTTGTATTGAAATGCAAATACTCATTCTAGTTTACAAGTATTTTTCGGATAATCTTCATTAAATGTAATGTGTCATTGAAAACATTATTTACCCATTTCTTCTGAAAAACGAGCAAATATAGATGTTAACCAAAGATTAAGGCTGTCGCCGCTTGGTCAAACAGAGACGACTGAGGATCCTTGCCAAAATGCTAATATCCTTATGTGGCATAAGTCCCAAATTAATGGTCTTTGAGCCGGCGGCGCGACGGCCACTGCCCACTTTACGTGACATTTGTGGTAGCCTAAGCCGGTCCCGGACTCAAAGGCTGAAAGGGCTTAATCCGCAAATGCCGACTCATAAAAAGGATAAACGCTCGGCATGAGTCAGCATGAGCAGGCCGACCCACCGACGGGTGCTTCCGCGAAATGCGACACCGGAGGCAGGTCCACTCACAAAGGACCGCAGAGATGCGACAAAAAATGAGACAACTGCAACAGCCGAGGTGTTGCAGAATTTCTCGACTTTTCCCATATTTTTAACCCAAAAATTGCTCCGTGTCCAAGTCAGCTGGTGAGGCCAACAGAAGGCAGATTACAAGGTGTGTCATCTGCCGCACAATAGGAAATATAAATCCTTTCGTTTTATTACAACGACGTAAAAAACTCGAAATAAAGAGAGGCAGCCGGGAGTGCCACTGGGACTTCCGGCAGGGTACAAAATATTCGATTGAAGGACGGCTGCTCGGCACGAGCGGGGGATGCAACCCTTTGGCACGGGCCGCGGAATCGGGGATCGGGACTTGCCTCGAGATTGAGAATCAGATGATGTAAGATGATCGTTTTTGGCACGGGCTTGGTGAAAAAAGGGGGAATGAATGAATGGAGGCCTTGAAAATTATATGAGTCTCAAGTGATCGCCAATTCGGAACCATTTTCCATCAACATTTTTAATTTTTTAGATTAGTTCAATACCTAAATTATTAAGGAACCTTTAACTTTAAATCATGGATTAATTTTCAACTGCAAAATATTTTTTTTCAAAACCATTTTCCATCAACATTTTAAATTTTTCAGATTAGTTCAATACCTAAATTATTAAGGAACCTTTAACTACAAAGCATAGATTCATTTTCTACTGGTAAATATTTTTTTAAAACTACGATATAACACTTATATCTTTTGTAGTTCTTACGTTAATTGACTTATCTATAAACATATATATTTTTTACGGGTTTAGTTAAAGATTTATAGATTTGTTTATAGATATTTATGAATTTATTGGTTTAAAAGGTAAAGCTTAAGAAAATAATCATTGGTTTTATTTCCAAGTGTCTATAAAAAGCGCTATGTTTTTGTGATATTTTGCAAACGATCCCTAAGGATCGAGATTTACAGCTGTAGTTTACTCATAAGCGTAAACTCTTGGGGTCCATTAACCTTTGCTGCTTAGGTCATTCGGTCTGGAGTTTGCCGTTAGTCTATTTGGATTACCTGGCGTGGGATCCGGATCCCCAAAGCGAAATTTACCTTTTTGAGTGCTGCTGCCCCGGATGCGCATCATCCTCGGTGCATTTTGGCGCTTCCGCTTCTGGGTTTTCACTTTCCAAACAGTTTTTGCTTTTTTATTAACGAATTCGTTATGCATCGTTTGGGTTTTCGTTTTCCTTTCCGTTTTGCACCTTTTGTTTTCCCGAACGCGCCACGTGCCACATCCAACATTTGTTGGCACAACTGTCAGTCGGTGAGTTTTCCCCCTCGTTCACTTTCCCCGCCGCCTTTGCTTTGTAATTCGATCAATTTAATATTTTTTAGGGGCCCCAGGACGGCTGCTGCTGCGGTTTTCGGTTAACATACGCTAACGCAGACTTATGCAATGTTTGCCGAGGGCCCAGACGCTGAGAAAAACCTCCAAATGGTCTTGGAGATTTTTAAAAATTTGGGTCAATGCTCGTTGTTGATTTCGGTTTGTGCACATTTAACAGTATTTTCCGCTGAATTTTCTTGCTCTTGGACTTGGCCATGCAATGCTGCAGTTTTTTTGTTCGGTTTGTTTGCTTTTCATAAATTGCCATTGCAATGCCAGAAACTTGTTATAGTTGCTTACTTTTCTTGTGCGCTTTGTTGCTGCCGCGTTGACAGTTTGAACATTCGTGCTTTTGGGCTTAAACTTGCTCTGTTGGTAAATGGTAAATGATAAATGGCAACTGCTTTGGCCCGGCCATTCCACCTAAGTGGCTTAAATTGCTTGACACTTTTAATTAGCCGTGAGATAGACTGCCGAAAGGTAACTGTAAAGTCTTGGTCCATCTGACCTAAATTGGCCAGAAAAATGGATTTGGCAATCTATTCTTGGGAAGCCAAGGTCTACAGAATACCGATATAGATTATATCTTTCATATTGGACTTCTTAAAAATAGTACTGATGGGATAGGACGATTTCAAAATTTGTTATGCCCTATCTTATAAGAAAAGATCTCCTAAAAAATAATAAAATACTTTTATAATTTTTTTGGCAAAGGAAAAAATATGAGGAACCAATACAAATACTATTTTGGAGTTCTATATTATATCTTCATTTTCCTTGCATATGCGTATTTTAAATCAAGATTTACAGTAAAAGCTTGCCCTTGCAGCCATCACATTTCGAAGACTTCTTTCCCAAGAATCCTGACCAGGGCATCGACTGTCCAAGCTTGTTGCGATCCACGTGCCCACCCAGTATATCGGCACCAGTATAAATTACTCCGTGAACTTTTACTCCAGATTCGGTCAACGAATTTAATCAAGCAAACGTGACTGTGATGGAACTTTTCCTCGATTTCCAAACACCTAACGCACAGCCACCGAATTGGGATCCCAGTCCCCGCATTTCGCTTGTAATGACTGGCGAATATGTTAAACTCTCGGCATCGGGGAATTGAATATGCTAAATCGACCAATCGATCGGTTCATAACAGACGCACTGACGCAGTGACGCCGAAATGCAAATCCATCGGATGCTTAGCTTACATTGCTCTTTTGGCCATCGGCAAACGGCAGTTGCCGAAAGTGAATGAAAGAACGGGCCAGGATATTAGATAAGTCGCCGGCTGTTTGTTAGGGTCGTTCTCCGTTAATGGCACCAATATGAGCGGAAAATCCGCGGGCGGTGCATAAGAATCTGCATATGGATGCGGCATATACCATACCATACTCCATACGGCACATATAGACTGTCGATCATTACACAGCGGTCAAACGGTCATTGGCCTGCTTGCGCATCAGCCGCGTATCTTGCAGATACTCCTCCTGAGTATCTCGGCATCTGAGTATCTCGATGTGGATGTGGTGGCCTGGCCAGTGGCCACCACTGAATGCTGCTCGCTGGCACGTAAGCAGTCTTGGCATCTTTCACCATGTGTTGGCGCAGCTTACGCAAAATTATTTATGAAAA